GATGTGGCAAACCAGCAATTTGTGAACCAATTGGTTGGTTCAAAGATGTGGCAAGCCCCCAAGGTTTGAACTAATATGTTGGTTCAAGAATGTGGTGTACCGCGTTCATGAACCTGGCAGTTGCCTCGAACCGCAAACAGAACCTAATAAAAGTGAAACTGACAACACTATTTCAAAGCAAGGCTTCTAGTTAGCGTAGCATTCAGTGTTGTAAAATTAGTGTATTTTGCTTGATTGTAGGGTATTGGTTGATCGGCTTTGTCCCACAAAATCTGACGTTACCTTGAGCTTGGTCCTTCTGCACATTTTACGCTTTTTAGTTTGACCTTGTGCTCATGTCTGTTATTGTTGCTTCTGGCGTACACACAGTTATATACATAGATATATACATATATATATATATATATATGCACACACCCCCTAAATATCCTATTATTCCAATATGTGACAGTTCATATTGATTTTATGTCGTTCTGATTTTAATTGTTTGCTATGCCGTTTAGTTTTCTGTTATCAGTTGGGGCAGATTTCGTTTGCAAAATATATGTTTATATAAAATATAGATTCTATTAATTATAAATATATATATATATATATATATATATATATATATATATATATATATATATATATTATTTTTATAGACATAGTCCATCAATAGATATATATACATACATATGTTTATATAGGATTCTGTTGGCGCATTAAGCGGCAAGTTTGAGACGCATTCATTGGCAGACACTGACAGTGTTGCCATTTCAGCTTTTTTTCTAGCTAAATGTGGCTATTTTCAGTTAAACTGTTAACGGAAAGAGCAGGTGCCTGCACAACGGAAGCCCGCTTCACATTTTCTTTTTTTGATCAAGTACTAGCAACAATTGTTGACGAAATCTGAAGTTTTGTCAACAATAGCTTAACGTATATCAATTACGCCGAAATCGCATTGTGTACAAATTTAAAATTGAATTTAAAAACAAATTAAATTTTAAAAAATCGTGTAAAAAGCACAAAAGCTGCAAGCTGGATGTTTGGATACTGATAATGCACTTAATCCGAGGTAGTTTACCTTGCAAAATTGTGCTTAGAAAGCAAAATCAGCTAGTTTTAGCTAATTTATCATTAATTTTAGCTAGTTTTTTTAAAGCGAAATTGGAAGCACTGGACATTCGGGCTAGTAGCTTGAGTTTTATAGCAAGCAGCTGGCGTCCGCTTGTCAAACCTGACCTAGTTTCGCATGTATAGCATTCAGCTTTAAGGATGCCAACATCCTGTTGTTGATTAACGATAAATGGTGCTCTAGGCATGCGCAAGGCTAAGGAGCTGGCATTTTGTTATCGTTTTACGATTAAACGATACGATTTGATAATTAATTTGAATTATTATCAACCCAACGCAACGGCATTTATTGGTATCGCTCTCGCGATATTGGAAGAAGTGATTGATCAACAAGGCTCATCCAAGCGCAAGGGTAAACCAATAAAAAACGCATTCGATTTTCTGTTTTTACATTCTACACAAGCACAAAAAATGTATTTTTTTTTCTCTGTATTTTGTCTCAGTTTACTTAAGTTTCATTTTTGTTGGGTTTTGGTTTTGGTTTTTATTAATTACATTTATAAATATATTTGTATATGTATACACCATATGTATATTTATATATTTATGCATGTATATTTGTGTATGTATTTGGTATTTATGTTAATAATTGTTAAGGATACCTTCTGCTGGTGTTTACTACTTCTTTATGACATTCATTGGGCTCTGCTACATAGTTTTGTAATTACTCGCACACACTTAACATACGTACAAATTGTTAACTTTAAAACTTAGGAAAATTTGGAAACTCAAAAAAGCCGCGTAAAAGTTGACATAATAACATAATAAGTTGTGTACTATTTTTGAAAACGATGCGCACGAGTTATTTGATAAGATATTTAAGATATATATATGTTAAGTATGTATGTATTATTTTTTTTTCTGTTTTGGTTTTTCCTCTTCTTTTGTGTTACATATTTCTCTTGGTTTTCACATCAATAAAATGTAATTTGAAATTGCAGCGGCGTATACAGCGGACACAACCTTAAGCTCCAGATTAAAGTACAAATCTAGGTATATATATAAATATATATAATAGGTGTATGTATTATCGAGTATGTTGCAAGTATCTGAAGAACCAATCGTGAAAATTATTTGGTATTTGCCTTAATGTAGCGCCAACATTTGGCGCTCTAGTCAATTCTATGTGGCCTTGCTTTTATATCCAAAATGGGTTTTGTTAATCAGCGCACTGTGAACTGAAAAGCTTGAATATTATATATGGACCACAAACTATCATATAGAAAAAATAACCAGCTGCTTTTGGCTTGGTTTGGTAGCTAACCAACCTGACTGCAACGCAGCATTTTATGACATTCACTAAACAAACAAAAAAAAACTGAAAAGTGAAAATCTTGTAAGAAACGTTGAAACATATCTATAACAATGTGTTGTTCAGTCACAGTGTGCTGCCTAACTAAATAAATCACAAAAATTTAGTTATAATTTTCTGGAAAAACTTTTGGTTTTAGTTAGTATTACATTGACAATTTACTAATTACATAGAATACACAGAACATTGGCTTTGTCAAGTTGTTGCTTAATGCATTTTCTTTTCAATAGATATATGTAGGTTTATAATGTATATATGTATTAAAGATTGTTTTTATTTATTTTATTTTGTAAATACACACAAAAATGTTACACGAATACGCACTACTTTGTATAAGTATTATACGAACTGGTTTCAGTAATTATATAAATTCAGTTAGTTATTTTTTATTGTATCATATCGATAATAATACTTATTATTCATTGTTTTTCATGTTCTCTTGATCGTGCTAAATTATAATATATAACACTCTGCACTCAAATAATATACAATTGAGCCTTGCTTGACTTTGATAATTGTTATTGTACAACATACTATTTGCACAGATAATAATACATTTAAATATATAGATTAACGCTTGATCAGTTGGCCATTCAATTGGTTATCATCAAGACATATATATATGTTTATATATATATATATATGTATAAGTAGGTAGTTGTGTAAATGTCTATTCATAGACAGGGAAATTTGCAAATAAAGCGAATACTGAAAGTAAGTTTAAGTCCTTAATTTGATAAGATTCTCTCCGGAATCTGTAAATACCATTGAATATTGTGCTTTCTAAAACATATGGTAGTTGTCTTTGGGGCCTGCAATTTAAGCTCAGCAAGTTTTTTTCATGTTTTTTTTTTTTCAAAATATTCAATTGGTTCTATGCGATACCAGGCTTGCAAGAAAATTCGGCTTGGCGCCCCAATGAATGTATTTTATATTTATATGATATTTAACACAGACACACCAAATAGTAGTTGTATATTTACTAAGTAGTTTAGCTTTAACACGCTGCGACAGACCCTTGCATACAATACATATCATCATATCATAATAATCGTTTCTTGTACCCATTTATATATGTGTATATATACATATATACTATAAAAGTAGTTATAGGTATTTCCATTCGTCTCTAGTTGCTTTTTCTTACTATGTTTGGCCTTAGTTTGATTTTCTTTGGTGTTTTCATTGCATTTTCATTCTTAAACCATTTCTACGTCATTTATCTTCTTCTTCTTATTATGCTTGCCTAGCTCACATAATTAACCAACTACATTACGATACACGCTAACATTTAATAATATATTATGATAAAACATAAAGGAAATGGAATTTAAAAATAATCTTAACAATTTTAATTACTATGCATTTGCTTCCATCTTCCACGAATAATATACGATCACGAATATTTTTTGAGAATACATCAACTACTCTATATATATACTCTCACGATCTAAAAGCATGCATAGGCAAACCAGATGCTAATCGGTTAAGAAGGAAAGTTCTCGAATTGGCTTAATTTTGTTTCAAAGGGAATATTTGTGCAAATATTAGATATAATTATGATATTTAAGTTTTGTGTTGCATTCATTTTGCTTATTTCCTTTGAATTGGGAAATAAAAAATTAGTTTGTACGTTGAACTTCATTTATTAATTTTACATAGATAAATAGTGTGCAGAGTAGCTCATAGTCGCATACTCCTTTTGAGCTTGCCAAAGCTATTTGGCGAAAGTTCCAAAATTAGCTCTGTTCTTCACCTAGCAGCCAGGCCTAACAGCCCAAGTTTTGCTTCTATTCTTGAAAAAGTACATATACATATATTTATATACTAATAGAATCCATATTTACTTATATTTCGGTTAGGTAAACATACACATACACAGACACGTCTGTAACACTTTTGTGATTAGACACAGGAGCTGTTCAACAGCCATCTACATTTTGGGCGCTTTTCTTGCGGTTTTTCTAGAGTTTAAGCATTTTGTTTTTGTGTTTAGCTTCGGATAGTTACTGTGTTTATATGCAACCGGATTAGAATATTGCTTAGGTGCGAAAAACGTTCAACTTTTGTTTGTTTGTTTTTTTTGTAAAGCAACCTAAGAAATTTAATCGCCTTGTAATAAATAAAAGATAAATTGTAATTTTGGTCAAGTTTTTTCTGCGTTAAGCTTCAGATATTGTCATGTATTTACAGATCTTTGTGCATATTTTGTTGGGATTGACGCTTTAATTATTTGTATAGATGGTACACGTATCTGTGAATCGTTTATGTATACATATTTCAATGTAAATATATATGTATATATATATATATATATATATCTGTAGAAATAACTAACATTTATATTATAATGGGACTTTTAGTTACGGCTTATGCCTATTTATATCTTTTTGGGTTCCAAACATTTTTTGGGCGTGTTGAGATATAGATGGGAGAATAGAGAAAGAGAGTGTGTGAGAGAGAGAGAGAGAGAGAGAAAAAAGGAGAGAGAGAGAGAGGGGGGGGGGGTAGCGTGAGATAAAGACAGAGCGAAAATTTGCTCAAGATAGGTACTAAAGTGTTTAGCAAGAGGTACGATTGAGTCGAGGCTATATAAGATCGTAAATATATAAATATAAATAGTTTTTATTTGTGAAACATTGAAAACCATTTGTAGGAGACCGTTTGTTCAGTTTCAGTTGCATATAGGTTCATTTAGGTTTGTTATTCAACGCCAATTGGCTTAGGAAATTGTGCATGAATTGCGTTTGGCGCCCAAGCTGCGCTCCTGGATGCGCTGCAGATGCTGCAGCTGTGCCGGCGTTGGTGTGTGCGAGCCGTGCGCCCCGCCTGCTGCACCAGCCGATGTTGAGGCCGAACCAGAGCCGGAACCGTGCGCCGTCCCCTGTCCGTGCGCCCCCTGATGATGATGGTGATGGTGGTGCAGCGGTGTGCCCGGCCCATTGTTGCCAATTTGCTGGGGCAGCGACTGGCGGCGGCGGCGTAGCGCCGGGCTCAGATTGTACGTAATTTTTGCCTGGGCGAGCAGCTCCTTGAAAACCTGCCAAACAACGAGAACACCAACAGAAAAAGAAGAGCTATGTTAACAACACTCCAACCAAATGAGCCAAATGCTTACCTGCGTGATGTTGTCGTTATTGGCCGCCGATGCCTCCACAAAGCCATTTTCCCAATCAACAGTTACCACCGATTCGGTTGTGGCATATTCCACCTGAAAAAATATTAACGTTTTCAACAGGTAATAAAGTGATTATATGCTTGTGAAATCATAAAATTAAAATTTGCTGTGATCCGATTATAAATAGGTCTAATTAAAGACAGGAGAGGGTACCTTCTTAATTAGCCCAACTATAAATGAGAGAGCGTGGGGTCAGTTAATTAAATAGTGTGTCAATTCATGAAAATCGCATAGAAAGGCGGCATATAAAGCGATTGATCGAGCAAAGAAGTGTGTAAGCAAGAGAGAGATAGAGTGAGAAGGAAGGGAGAGAGAGAGAGAGAGAGAGAGAGAGAGCGAGAGTGGGGAAGAAAGGGATACGTTACATACGCTTTCTCAACGCGGCACAAATGAACCAATAACTGGTACCTTATTAACTTGAAGGCATTGCAGCACACAAATTTTTGTGAAGATCGTGTAGAGTGAGTGAGCGAAGTAGCAAGAGATTCCAGCTCACAAATTAAAAGACTTTTAAACTGGATGAGTGACAGAACCTAATTGAGAACTAAGATATAACATGTGCTAGCCATAAAGAGAAGTACATGCACGTAAGTAAATTAAAAAGCGATTGCCTAAATTGTGGGCCTGAATGTATTTGAATCGTAAGTTGGCTATGGGTTTAAATTCATTTTGGTCATGGCACTGGAAATTTAATTACAATTACAACTTCTTCTGACAGCAATAGTTTTGAATTACTCTGAAACTGGCACAAAAAAACAACCAACAATAATGGATGAAAGGCACAAGCTGGCACCAATTGGCTCCGAGCGGGCCGAGCGTCTGGCGGCGATGAATAGCCTGAATATCAATCTCAGTTCAACCAAGGAGCACAAGAATGGCTCGACGTTGTGGCAGTGCGAAGCGCAATTTGTAAGTATTTTATTATTATTTCTTGCTTGTCGGTTGAAAAAGTCAGGAGAACACGTCCATGTATGCAGCGTCGGCGACAGGAGGATCCACCAAATGCCGAGCTCGAAGCCTGGCTACGTTGGCAGCGCGAACGCCAGTTCGAGCGCGAGCGTCGTCAGCAGTTCGAGCCCTGGCGTTTCACCGAAGACGAACAGAAGCCGCAGGCTGAGCAGAAGAAGTCGGCGGGCCAGAAAGAGTTGATCGTGGAAAAGAAATCGCCGCTGGAAAATGACAAGGTGCCTATGGGCCAGAAGCAGCATCTGACCGCACAGCTGATGCAAGCGCAGCAGCAGACGCGTCGCCTGGTGCAGAGCATCGATCAGATGCTGCCGGCGCTGCCCAATCGTCAGCTGTTCCAGCAGACGCTGCTCCAGCTGCGCCAGCTGCATTTATTATTGAAACGCCAACTGCAATGGCAGCTCCAACAGGATCTAAGCCGAGCTCAGCAGACAGAAAGGGAGATGGAACAGTCGCTGGAGAATGGAGCTGTGCCAGCCGCAGCATCGGCACCTGGACCAGGACCAGCACCGCCGCCACCGCCACCGCCGCCACCACCGGGACCAGCGCCAGCAGCCACACACTTCATATATGCGCCGCAGCGATGGCAACATCCTGGCCAGCAGTCATGGCCACAGCAGCAACAGCAGCTGCCACAGCAGCAGCAGCAGCATCAGCATCAGCAGCAGCATCAGCATCAGCATCACCTATCGCATCAGCAGCAGCAGCAGCTACAGCAGCAGCTGCAGCAGCAGCTAAATCAGCAGCAACAGACACAGCCACAGCAGCTGCCGCCGCCGCCACAGCAGATTGCCAAAATGCAGCAGATGCAGCACATGCAACATCTGCAACAGTTGCAGCCGTGCGTTGGACTCAATTTCAAGGCGCCCGTCTTTCTCAATAACGGACATGTGCCACCGGGCGCGGCCCAGGCTGGCAAATTTCGCATATGGTATATGACACACAATGCATTGCCCCATGAGCTGGCGGCCAATCATTGGAATTTACAGCAACCAGAAAATAATAGTTATTTTAGCGCTAATAATAATAACAATATCATAAATCACAATAGCAACAACAGCGGCCACAACAACAACAATGAGGCCAGCAATAACCACAACAGCCACCACAATAGCAACCACAGCAACAACCAGAACAACAACCACAGCAACAACCACAACAATATCATCTGCAACGTTCAAGCCAGTAATAACAATAACCACAACAACAACCACAATAACAACCACAACAGCAACAATATCAACAACAACAGCAGCAACATCAGCAACAACAGCAACAGCAGCAGCAGACACATACCCGTCTGGCCAATAAACACAAACTAAAAACAAAAAAAAAAAACGATTTCAACAATAATCAAAATCCAAAAAAAAAAATGACGTCAAGCCAAATTAACAGAAACATCTACATTTGAAAAAGGGGGCAAGGGTGTAGGCATGGGACATCCTGAGCACAAAACAAATATATATTTAAGTACACGTACATATCCACACATACATATATATAATATATTTATGTATATACGTATATATATATTAATATATATGAATAGATATAGAACAATACACGATAAATGAGCGCAGAACATGCATAGGAACAAGAGGCTTGTCAGAGATAAAAATAAGCAAACCAAATTGAAATCCATTTAACAGACACGCTTTTTGTTACATGTTTTGTAAAGCCAAATATGTGGCTTATTTGAACAAAAAAAAAAAGAAATTAAATTTGGTAATAACCTAAAAGGCCAATTAAATATTTTGCTAATGCTTATGAAATGTTGACCCGTGGAACAAACGGCATCCACATGTGTTTTATCTGGAACGTATGGAGCTTGCGATTGGAAATATTTCACTGTGAAATTGTAATATTATGGACTGGATACTTCTAGTACAATATATATCTTCGCCTATATTTTATAGTTGGGCTTTAACTATCATTAAGAAAATTTAACCAGAATTTGGTATCAATTTTAGTGTATTAGTTCCTAAGAGACCACTTTGTCAATAATTATTTATGAAATTACTTTTAAGTTGAAAACCTTTTTATACCCTTATAGAGGGTAGGGAAGGAGACGTCTCCGACTCCCTTAAGTATATGTATTCTAGATTAGGATCAACAGCCGAGTTGATACAGCCATGTCCGTCTGTCTGTCTGCATAGTTTCGTTTTTCTGTTGCAGGCAGTCTACCGCCGGATCGGACCAATATATCATACAGCTGCCATATAAACGATAGGTCTAAAATTAAGTACTTGCTACCTATATATATATGCAAAATCTTACCAACATCGGATCATTATATCATATAGCTGTCATAGGAACGATCGGTTGAGAAGCAGGTTCTTGTATGGACAACATTTTTATTCATTAACATATCTTGACCTACCTCGGAATTTACTTTTTAAGCTATGCTGCTCACATATGAGCCAAGTTTTATCAAGATATTACCATATTAAATAGTTCTAAAGGAAGAATCGGTCGACAAATGTGCTTTTGTATGGAAAACATATTTTCATCAATTTCATCATACTGTTCAGACGAATCAGCAAAACCGTAAGGCAAATACCTACAAGGGTATTAAATCTTAGCCATGGCAAAGATGACCTTACTTTTTCGTTGTTTATTTTTTGGCCTGGCACGAAGTTTTCTAGAGGGAAACAAATCAAATTTGAGTCTACATTTCTTGTATTTTATTTCGTTTTACTCCTGAGTTAAGCCTTAGATTTGAAGTTAAGCTGTACCAAAAAGCTAGACTACAAATTATGCCCGGCATTGCCCGTTCAAAGCATATTTCGTTATTATCCGAAAGTGTTTTATTGCATATACACATCTGTAATAAGCTACATAATCTAAGGCTATATAAACAATAAAAGAAATTTGGTAAAGATTTTTCGTGATATAGGTACAAAAATTACGACAAAAATAACTTTATATGTATATATATAAATTAAAGTGTTTTCCAACAGCAGGAAAGTTTAAATGGCATGGGGAATCCTTTGGCAGACAATACCAGACGACGGCGACCCAAAGTGATTGAGCATTAAACGAGTCCATTTTGTGTTAAAGTATTATTTCTTATCGGCATAGAAACGCACATAGACGTCTAAATTGCGGCGGTAAGTGTGGAAAAAAATGAAGTGAAAATAAATAATAGTCAACAGAGAGGAGCAAAAAGAAAAGGGAAACTGCTGACTGGAAATATTTTTGAGGCAGGATGGGGTGATGGGGAGAGACACAGCAATGACAGTAAAAAGCCAGAAACGAAAACCAAAAGCCAACCGAATTGTATCGAAACTAAGCTCGAGCCCAAACGAACACCCAAATTCTTCCAAATGAACAAACCCAAAGAGCAGCAGAAGCATTTGAAGCAGCAGCAGCATAAAAAGGCAAAACGTGCGTGGCTGCTGCCCAGCTCGGGCCAGCTGTCGGCATTACATATTGGCCAGGACTGGGGCAAACATTGGCTTTCAAATGGCCAACAAACTGAGTATGTGTGTGCGTGTGTGTGCATGTGTGTGTATACTGGCCTAACCTAAATACATAGTAAAAACGTAAAGCGCCAACAAAAAGTTAAGTTCACTTCGTTAAACAAAGAAGACACTCTAAAGCACAGGCCGGGCAAGGTGGGCTAGCGAAAAATAAGTAAATACAAAATAAAAAATAAAGAAAGAAAGAAAAAACGCGACAGTTTGCCGCTGCTGGCGGTGCGCAATTTGCATTTTTATTATATTAGAACTCGGTTAAAGTCAATACACCCAAAAAAGAAGACACTTGCTACAGCGGGCATTGTCTCGACTATTGAAATTGACAATAAACTGCCGGCTTTGCGCACATACACACCACACACACACACACATACACACACACATACACACACACACAAAGTCACACAAAGCCATACAAACACACAGAGACAACCAAATCTCCTTCTGGGTGCGGTAAAAAAGGCACGCAGCAAAAAAATGGGGCACAATGAAATATCAAGTATGCGCCAAGTGGACCAAACGCTGCTGGTGCCAAACGGCAACAACAGCAGCAACAACAACAAAGGCAGAGATAAATTAAAATTGAAA